TCGTTTGTCGTAGCTCTTTCCTCCCTGCATCTTAGCTGCGGCTCCCTCATATGGGGGCCGTCTACAGCAGTGTGCCTCTACCCCAAAGAAAGCGGGCACGTACCTGCAAGAGTGTCCATGCCCGGTGTGGATGTTTGGCGGTACATGGGGTTCGGGGTCGTCATGCGCGCGTCATGCGGCGATGCTATTTGTTGTGGTGTTCCCATTGCGCTGTGTACTCCTCTTGCGCCGTTCGCGATGTGGGCGTATCCCGGGGACGGCACACGCTGTTGGAGTGTCTGGGGCGGCTGCGGGGAGGACCTGATCTGTTGGCTTAGGCCCGAAGGTGTTCGCGATGGCATCTGGCGTCTTGTGCGCTTGCCCGGGGATCGGAGTAGCGACGGCGACGGGATGGTAGGGGCGGCTTGTGGTGTTGGGGTGCCCGCAGGCGAGTCCGACGGCGATAATAGCGAGTTGATATCCATGGTGTACAGCGTTCACGACCCTATGCTCTCGTTTGGCACGCACTGCGATCCGGCAGCTGTCTTGAATGCTATACGCGCGCCCGGCGTCTGTCGATGCTCTCTCTTCCTATGGTCGCGAGCTGCAGAAACTACTAGGCATCGAGTCCCTCGTAACGAGCGGCATGGGACGACAGCGGGCGTGTGGCGCGAAAAGGACCGTCGGAGGCGCGAGGCGATGGGGATAGCGAGTGTGATGGGAGATGACCTCGTCGGCGTCGTGGGTGAGAAGGCCTACACCCGGTCTAGAAGAAAAGGTGGTTAGGTGCACCAGGCAAGCTTGGGCCTGCGACTAATCGAGTAATGATGGAGCGAGCACGTCGCGACTCGGAGCAGCTGGATGCGGACTCCCGGAGTGAGTTGGCGGCGGTACAGCACGATGTTTGGCGCGTCACGGAATGCGCGTCAGGCAACGGGGTCAAGAGTCTAGAGTCGACGGTGGTCTGGACAGGAGCGGGACGACACGACTCCTGCACATTTCTTCTGCGTTCTGATCGCTCTGGTTCAATGATGATCCCGCTGCCAAGCCAACCCCCTGCAAGCGCCCTGCGCCAGCGCGGAGCCTTTCGCCGTGCCACAGAATTTCCCGCGACACTTCACAGCAGTGGCATCATCAACGCCGCAGCGCCGTGGTGTCGAGCATCGCTATGAGCGCCCGGATACCCTCACGGCGGCTGGGGCAGTCAGGTAAGCTATTACTGGGAACATTGATCCCCTGCACCATTTTCTCCGCACCTATCGGAGCGCTAGTCGTTCTTCCGGGCGGTACAACACCATGACGACTAACATTGAATAGCCCTCGCCGCGCGCCCACACACCCAATGGATACCCTTAACCTCGATCCTTTCAATCTCACAGCGCAATATCTCGTTCGGGCGCAAGAAAGACAACGATGACCTCTTCAATACCGTCTATTCAGGCGCTCATCGCACTGAAGAGTTCAGAGGGGTCAAGAATAACAACGACGACCTCACCAACCCGATCCTCGAAGACTACCTATCGAAGAGGGCAAAACGAACAGGTGCGAAGGGAACAGACGAATCGGCAGCGCCCTCACGCCCCACCCCTCGTGAAGGAGACTTCGCCGTAACCCCAACTTCCCTCTTCCCACCCGAAAGCGACATCCCCGGCTGGCGGCCAGACCTGAGCCCGCAGGAGAAACTCGAACTCAAGGCGAAATACCGCAAGCAGGAGCAACAAGAGACGCTTAAGGAGGACAAGAAGCTCATGGATATGTCACTCGATCCCGACCAGAAAGCCCGCAGGCGTCTCGAGCGCAAACTCGTCATTTCCGGCGTGAAGCGCCACGGCCGCATGACAAAGGCGCAGAAGCTACTCCGTACCGAACGCCAGTCAGTCTACAGGTCACAACTCCTTCCTACGTCTACCAAGAAGCTGCAGAAGGTCGTAAACCAGATCGCCGGAAAGACTGTCTCGGAAGCCCTCGTCCAACTCCGCTTTTCTCCGAAACGTGTGGCCCGCGACGTCATCAAGGGCCTCGAAATCGCGCAGAACGAAGCCATTGCGGCCCGCGGTATGGGTCTCGCTGGCGAAGACGCTGCGGTGTCGCGTTGGAAAAAGCAAAGAGCAGCTACGGATGCGGGGAGACCGAAGGATACTTGGGACTACAAGACGTCGAAAACGAATGGCAGTCTGGAGGCGAAGCCGGTTAAGGTGCCTTTCTTCAAGGACACGACGATCCAGTTGAAGGATGGGAGTAAGAAGGTGGTCCGCGACCCCAGCGAGATCTACATTGACCAGGCGTGGGTGGGACCCGGGCAGAGCTGGAAGACCCCTGAGTTCAGGGCGCGGGGTGCTATCAACATGCTCAAGCACCGGACGACGAGTGAGTTTTTCGCACACTTTAGTTTGGAGAATTGGGCGCTAACATTGCATGACAGGTTTCTCCGTTCTTCTCAAGGAAGAGAAGACGCGCTTGCGCATCTCAGACGAGATTCAGAAGAAGCGCGACAACCGCAAGCTGTGGACCGCACTTCCCGACCGACCCGTCACATCACAACGGCAATATTGCTTGTGGTAAACGATTGTACGAATTCAGTGTATAGCATATATTGCCGGTGGAAGAAAACTGGCTTGTACAATATACCATTCAAGATCAACCGTTCCCCATCATCCAAAGCAATACCAATCGCTTTATCCGGGTATCTCTCTATCACCCATCCAAGATGCATAACGTACATGGCTGCTGCTGCCTTTTCAACTTTTTGAACATGTGACAAGATCCTGAACGCCTTCGCTATGCAAACAAAAGATCCCTTTACCATTCTCATGCTTCCACGCCGTCTGCTGCGCCGACGCTGCTGACAAGCATGTCTAGCATGCCACGTACCTTCCATGCATCTTGGCTTGCTTCGACGGTCACCTTGACTCGCTGCATCAGCGCCATGATTAGATCATCAACCTCCTCGCTTCTGCCCAGTTGATCGGCGTATAGGTCCAGGACCACGAGCGCGACGTCGGTGGTCAGACGTGTGATGCGGTAGTCGGAAACGTTCTTTATGCACCAGCGGAGGATGGGTTGGAGTGTTACGGAGTCGCGGTTGCTGAGAGCAGTTCGGAGAGCAGAGCGGTGGCGGAGAGCAGTCAGGAGGGTAAGGGACTGGCTGCGGGCATTTGCGTCCTTGAGAGATATCAGTCTTAGTCTCAGGGGTGTACAGGAGAATGGAACACATACCTTTGATTCGAGAACCATGTCCAGCGCCTGCGCGTACATGCCCTTCCGCAGCGCATGCGCCCACGGCTGTCCGGTCGTGATCTTTCCCCGCGCATTGCCCTCGATCACGATGTCTGCGCTCTCGCCGGTGAAGTCTTTGCCTCGGATACGCTTTTCCCAGCCCTTTCCGCGCTTCCGCTTCTTGCTCCTGTCGTACTCTTCGATCTTGCCTTCCATGAGCGCTTTCATCTCCTTCTCTCGCTCACGGGCCTGAACCTTCTGCTCGCCGGAAAGATGGGTCTTGATCGAGAGAAGACCGGATTGCATACCCACCGCAATGTGTCTGTCCTCCTTTTGGTTCGGGATGACGCTGAGTGACAGGATGGGCGACGGGTACTTAATCCCACCTACGACGTTCCAGCCTGTTGTTTCGAAGACCTTGACGTGGCCGTCGAGAGCACCGGAGAGGAGGCGTTCGCCGTTGTTCGCTAATGAGAGCGCGGTCACAGTTTTCTGGTGGTTTCGCAGCATGTGGATCGGCTTTGCGGCTACAATGTCGAGAACGCTGATGACGTTGTCGGCTGCTGCGAGGACGGCCGTTCCAGACGGCATAGGGAGGACAGTCTCGACGGGCGCAGCGTGTTTGAATACCATGACCGCCTTTCCGCCTACTCGCGAATCCCAGAGTCGCACCGTCTGATCGTAACTTCCAGATACGAGCAGCCCACTTTGCGCAGGCATGAAGGTACCGCTGCGCACGTAGTCTTGATGCCCGTCAAACTTCATGACGCTCTTCTCACTCGGCAGGTCCCATAATCGCACGGTTCTGTCGTCGGAACAACTCATCAGGCCAGTAAGATCTGTGGGATTCCACTGTGTGACCCAGACGGGCTGCTTGTGTTCCTTCCATGTCTTCAAGATGGCCCTGCTCTTGACATCGAACGCTTGTATGACACCAGTATCTCCTCCTGCGACCAGAATCCTGCCATCGCGCCGTATGTTTCCCGAATGCGCAACGTCGTCGACGCCGAAGCGCGATATCGTCTTGACGACCTTTCGGCTCTTGGAGGAGAAAATTTGGACGCGCGATCCTGTGGTGACTGCGAAGAGGTCTTGGGTGGCCGAAAGCGTATTGGCAGGCTGAGGGGGCGGTATCGAGATGTGAGTTACGGGCGAGGAATGTTGCGAAGGGTCGAGTTTGAGCTCCGAGGCGAATGAGTTCCAGTACTTTTGCTCAGACGTAAGGGTGGAAGGGCCCTTTGGCAGCTTCAAGGGCTGCAGGAGTTGTACTTCGGCCGCCATTGTGAAAGTTGGATGCGATCAATGCGCGTGGAGTTGCGAATGTCGTGAGCTTTTCGGGTGGAGGAACTTTTCGGTGGGTCAGGAAGTCACGCTAACGACATCGGATGGTGGCGCCTTCCCGGCCTGAACGCGGACAGATGCCGACCGTGATTAATATCAGCATCAAAGTCGCGAGTGAGCAGATCCTGATAGTCTGTGCCGTGAGGTTTACTTGTCAAGATCGCCTTAATGGATTGCTATCATCATCGGAAAACGCCGGTCTCTTCGTCACACAGCATGAGCTGACTAGTGTTGGTTGCCTGGAGGATCGCCCAGGCGCACCCAGTTCATCAATAGACGACGGACGGCGCAGCACCTTCCACCTCATCAGCGTCAAGCCGGCTTCCACGTTCTGTCATGCGACCCCCAAACATCAGATGTCTCTCTTTTCGATTCGGACCTATTGACCTGCCAATGACAAATTGCCTGGCTCCAGGATAAACCACCCTCAGCGCGTCCACCAGGGCCGCACTAGACGCGTCACGATGGATCCCGACGCGCTCGACAGGATGAACGATTTCTTCGATTTCGCCGCTCTTGAACAGAACAACGAAGTCGAACACACCCATGCCTCAAGTGGGCAATCGGTGTCATACTTTCAACCAGACAATGTCACGGCTATTGACTTCGCTTTGGAACCAGCGGCCCAAGATACCCTCCAATTGTACGACGTGCCCATGTACGACGTGGCACACGATCTCTCCTCTGGCGATATAAACCAGCAATGGCCAACATCTCACCCAACAACATATGCTGCGACGTCTATGATTGAAACGAGTGTAGACTCAGGAGCAGACGTCGATTGGCAAACTGTTGATATGGAACATGCGAAGGACCACAGGATCCGCGATGCGACGGATCTCGCTCTCCCGCCTTCATTGTCATCGCTTGCGCTAATGCAATGCGATGATGAAGGCAGTTTGATTGATGCCCCGCACTCTCAGCTCGGGCTACGTCCTTCAGTTCTCGATCATTCAATGATTCCGGCTGATGCCTCCCTTGGACTGGAGCAGCTACCAGTCAGATCGGCCGCATCCCAGCAACAACCTTCAATTGCCACTTGGAAACCAGCATCAGCCAAACGTAAAGGTCCTCAGTGCCGTATTCCACTTGAGGCAAGGCAGGTGTTGGAGGACGAATTTGCGGCCAATCCATACCCCTGCGCGTGGGAATTGGATATCATCGCACATCAAGCCAATCTCGACGTGAAGAAAGTCCGCAACTGGTTCAATAACACCCGAGCCAGGAAGAAGTGTGGAGGTGAGTCGTATCCCATTCCATGAGATCATGCTTTGACTTATCTATTCAGATTCCCACCCCGCTGTAAAGGATGGTTCAGGCCAGAGCAATCGCACTCTGAAGACAAAGCTGTCAAAGGATAGTCTGGAAAGCCTTCAGAAGCAAGCAGATGACACCAATCAACTGCCGCAGCCGCCTCTGGCGGTATATCTTGCACAGTCGTACCAAGAGGAAGCTGTTGAACTGTCTGCAGTACAGGCTGCCGTTGATGTTGAGTCTCTCAACGAAAGCATCCCGAATAGTGGATGGTCTGAGTCCAGACAAGGTCGCAGAGGTTCCGTCATCACCTCGATTGCTTCTTCTGAAGGCACTGCCCCCACAACATACACAGTGTCTTCCAGCGGTAGCCGCAGTAAAACCTCGTCCTTTGGTCGTGATCGCCGCCGAGGTAGACGTCGGATGGCGTGGAAAGAATCTCCTCGCCAAGCCATTAACGGTGTGAACAGTGCAGGTGAACCCCAGAAAGATCTGCCTTTTTTCTGTACTTTCTGTCCGCGGGCATTCAAGACGAAGTATGAATGGATACGCCACGAAGACTCTGTCCACGCGCTTCGAACCACTTGGATTTGCTGTGACACAAAGTCATCCGAAAATCTTGAAGCATGTCCATTCTGCGGCCAGGCCCATCCCGACGATGCTCACCTGGCTGGCCACAAGTACCAACAATGCCGAAGCAAGCCCGAATCCCAACGAACTTTCTATCGCCGCGATCACTTCATCCAGCATCTGCACCATGTTCACTTCGCCAACACCAAACATCCGTCCGTACGTACCGGCTGTCAAGCTCGATTATTAGCCGCTGAAGGCCACAACTTTGGTTGCAAGGACCTCGCCATGAAGTGGCGTCGCTTCGGTGCTCCAATGAAGCTTGACGATCCTATGCTTCATTGTGGCTTCTGCGGAAAGAAGTCAAAAGACTGGTCCGAACGATGTGAGCATGTTGCTGAGCACCTCGTCGCGCGTGAGCTTGACCGTGCTGTGTGGTGGAGCGAGCGCAAGGAAAACCATTTGGAGAACCTCTACTCGACTACACCATACGAATCCTTCCGATGCCGATACTGCCAAAAGGTCTTTACGGATGTCAAAGATATGAACGAACACTCTCACTGTCGTGTGTGGAGCTGTCGATTTCTCCGGAGCTTCGACGACGTTGCTGCAGACAATGCAGGTCCGCCCCTGTGTCCAGACTTTCCTTCGGCCAAAGCTCACCATTGTCACCTTTGCGGCTCCGGCTATCGAACGTTCCACGTCGAACATGCGCAGAACTACCATCGGTATCGCTCGTGCAATCAAGAGTTTTACACATCTGAAGACGCTTTCCTCCAGCATTTGCACAACTTTCATGGCGCTTCACAGCCAACATTATTGCGAGGCTCTGGTGTCATCGAGCAGAGCTATATGCGCAATAAAGGCGCATCGTTCGAGCCCGTGGAGTTCAATGAGAGCTGGCAGCCTTGCGTAATGGATCTAGACGTAGCCTCTGTCAGTCCATTTGTTGCCGACAACACTGTTTCAACCCTACCTGTCGACCAGAGAAGGAGTCAAAACCAGACCCGGAAGTCGCTCGTCATTCCAAAGAAAGCTCGTGAGATTGTGCAGACTCAGGACGTCAATGTCAAGAAGGTATCAAGACAACGATCTGACACATCAACCTCCAAGGCCGAGAGTCATCACCCGCGATTCTTCCGACTCAGTACTTATGTACCCTTTCTGTCATCTCGTATCTTCTACTCGCGGTCTGCAAAGGCAGCGGACTTTCCGAGAGACAACCAGGCTGTGCTAGAAGAGCTACCGAAGCCGCACATTGCGACACTGGCGATGAGTGCAGGCACAGTCAGCATGGCCGCCGCTCGCTGGTTCATTCGGCCAGACACATGTTCGGTCAATGGTATGGTAGAGCTTACCATTGATAATGAAGCAGATGTAGATTGAGCGAACTTAGCCGCTACCGAGCGGGGATCGGGATTACTGTAGATCGCACGAGACCTTTGGCACTGTCCCCTTCCTCGGCAAAAGCGTCACTGCGTTGCCTGAGAAACTGTCCGACAGCTGACGTCGTGGTACTGCCCATCTGATTGGTCAAGCAGCGTTGTTTTGAAGTGGAATAGACCGTGGAGGGCGCACAGACTGAGCTCCTTGTCCACTTCAATACTGGTGGGTATCCAGCAGCTCTACTGACAACATATCCAAGCTGCCTAGCTGCTAAGTACGCACCCAATCAACCTCCCACCCCGTCAGTCCCTCGAACCTGAAGCCAAGATTCGAAATCGCTCAAGACAACATGGCCGAAGACTCGGTGATCCATCTCCCGCTCGCCATCGACGTTCCCAAGGACTCACCTGAGGACTTAATCCTCTCCACTACCTCTTCCGACACTGATGTCAAATTCGATCGCTTCAATGAGCTTCCGGAGGAGCTTAAGCTTGAGATCTTTCGACACCATCTCCGCTTTCCCTGGAGTGTCACCTGTCGTAGCCATGACTTTATCTACGGACCCCGCTTTCTGAACACCGCGCTTGCCAACAAAGAACTGTGTAGTATCGCTTTCCAGATCTATTACCACGAAAACACATTCAAGTTGGCCTGGTTAGTCGTGCGCGGGTCACGTCGTACCCCATTGTCTTTCCGTTATCCATCTAAGACCGTCGCACATCTTGTCACGAAGCTCGAGATACATATGGAAATCCAGGGTCTCGGGTACCCCTTAAACCCATTCTACTGCGGCGGCTGCCAAGGCTCCCAACTAGCTGTCCTAGCTCATCCTCGTCGCGCGTCCTTCACAGCTGGGTATACCTGTTTTATTCTGGAGCCGCATTCGTGGGCAAATGACGGTGAGGCCAAGGCTGGCTGGGGAAGATACTTCACCGCGTTGAAAGAACTCCGCATTGTGATCCACTTGCCTTACTGTCTTCCGGAAGAATCGAACGTATTCTTCGAGCGACTGCCAGAGCAGGCGCGCCTACTGTTGCAGGCCAAAAACACCCAGGTCGAAGTCGAGCATGCTCATGAGCGCACTCGCTGTGACGGTCATTGCCAGCGCACGATCGGACGTGGTATTATCGGTATGACAAGACCGCCAATTCCGAGTCACTACACAGCGTGAGAGTTGTCTCCAAGACTATAAGGCTCCGAACCACTATCTGGAGCGTTTCTCCTTCGAGGTGCGCTTGGACTGCTTGAACGAGGGATATTTGTCGACATTACGCCGAATTGACGTGGCAGAGTGACAGAAGCGTGGAAGGTGTGAAGGTGCTATGAGGACAGGCTCCAGAGTTTATACGGGCTGGCGTCATGGCGCATAATTCCCATCAAGTCGTCAGAGAGCATGTCCTGGACATGGGCGGTGGCGTCTTGACTGTCATGTATACAATAATTTCCAACCTCAACAAGAAACGTCTTTCCCAGGAGCTATTCACATTGTGGTCGTTATTGCGCAGATCTTGGGCGCAATACCACATTTTCAAGAAAGGCGTATCGCCGAGGTATTTGTGAAAAGCCATTGTTAAAACACATCAGGCCTGGTAACGCCTACCTGGTCTCAACCCACTGAAGTTTCACTGCCATTTTAGAACCTTGGAAGCGTTTCACTGCACACTGTCAGTTCTGCACCTGCCTAGTGAGTCGCGGTGCATGGACTTTACCTCAGGTGGTACCTGCCTTGCGTCCCGCTCTCAGGCCACTACTCTATATTATAAATCCCGCTCATACCATCAACGCCCTCACATCATACGAGTCTCATCACCCAACCAAGAATTACGACTACCAATATGACAACCGGATCCGACTCATTCCTCCGAGGGTTCCGCAGCCTCCCTGGAGAGCTGAAGCTGCTCATCTTACGCTACACCGTCTACACTCCAACAGCCGTGACTGCCTGCGCTTGGCTCGATAAATGCGACCTCCATTATCTCTGTTATCCCCAAGACTGTTTCGACAGCCATGTTTTTCAGTACCGTACGCTTGAGACAAGGCGGTTGCTGAAAGAGACAGTGATGCCCCTCCTCTCTGTTCCCGAAATCAAGCACCTTGTTCTGGAAGCTTTCTATGGGGTCAATCGAACGGTGATACTGTCCAATGACACCCCCTCTTCGCATGGGAATATTTGCCACTGTCCGCCACCTGTTGTAAGGCCGCTTGTTCGCTGTCTCGAGATTAACCTCGATTACAAAAGACGTCACCATCTAAAATTATTGAGGGAAATCGCAGATGGGTCAACATTTCCGAACTTACACTACTTGACCGTCAACCTCGACCCGGAGACTCTGTTCTTCGACGACCAGGAGGACGACGAACCGAGGTCGTATTTCGAGGCTTATTTCCAGCGACTCGGCCCAATCCACTTCCCCACGCGCCATCTGACCATCACGTCAATCATACTCGGATCAAGCGATGTCGATATCGAAGCGGTGGAATCACTTTATTGTGAGCAGCTTGACCTGCAAGCCAACGGAACTCGAGAAGAACGATGGCAACGCTTCTGTATATTTGACGACAAAGACATAGACGAGAGGTCTCAATACGTTACAGAGAGGTCGAATTTCGTCACTGGTATTGCCCATGCGGGCGTTTATCAATACCAGTACCGTGTAACGATCAAGACTGTGTCGACTCGGCCGAAGGACTCGCCGTATGGGCACCATATGTGGGCAGACTATCCAGTTCGGAAGTAGCAACTTGGTGGTGGACATATGATGCGCTTCTTCTTATGAACTTGAAAGATGGAGCGATACGCTATTGGACGTGGGGAAGTTTCGTCTCACCCAAAAAAATCTAGACGAGATGCATATTTGGCAAGCGAGTGAGGGAGCTTCTACGTGTATACAGTTAGCTGCGCAGATGTATGATCACGAAGGTATTCTCATTGATCCCCCAATGCATCAGCCCTTGAAACTGTGACGCCCTTTCCTGCTGCCGCAATCTAGCTGCAAGCAGGAACGGTTGCTGATATCTACGCGCTGATTCGTCGCCTTCTCCACCCTTAACCACAGATTAGCAGTCGCCTCCCACGCTCACCTCAGTCAGAGCGGTGCGCATACATCCTGCTCTCATTTCAACTTCTACTTGAACAAATTACACCAACGAAACATCGCGCCGTTGAAGCCTCGCAAAACCATAACATCTCAGTTCAATCCGAAAATGCCTTCCAACGCCCAACAGAGCAATGCAGCGTCCAGCATACCTACAGATGTGAAGACAAACTTCCCGCACCAGTCCGATGCCGAGTTCCTAGAAAAGCTTCGATCTTTCGCCAAGTTCAAGGAACGCTCGCGCCAAACGCACCACCAAGTACACGTACCAGAACTTACCGCGCGTCTTCAACTCGATACTACGTTACCTATACCGAGCGAAGATGCTTCTCCCCCCGCACCAGATGCGCTCGTACCAAATCTCGCAAACACATCTCCCATCAGTGTCGTCTACCTCGGCAACTCTATGCTCGAGCGCTTCAAAACCAGCGGCATCACCACCGACATCGGCAAACTCGGAGATACGGGAGTCGCATGGAACGCCGGTGTAGGCGGCGACAGCAACCAAAACGTCGCATACCGACTCACAGAGGGTCTCTACGACATGCTCAAGACGGCGAAGAAAGACGTATGCGACATCAAACTCTGGATCGTGGCTTCCGGGACGAACAATCTGCAGAAGAAGCGTGCGTTCCGGAAGCAGGATGTGGAGAGCTGGAGAGTGTTGGTGGAGGCTTGTCTGAGGATTGCGCCGGAGAGTACGGTGTTGGCGTGCGATATGTCGTACAGACTGGATATACCTGATGGGATTGTGGATCAGAGTAATGAGATGCTAAGGGAGGTTGTTGGAGAGATCAACGGGGCTCTTCGGGTTGAGAAGGAGCACGAGCTGCAGACATATGAGGATCAGACTGAACGGGATCGCGAGGACAAGGTGAAGTGGGTTGATACGAGGCACATGTTCATCAAGAATATGCTTGACGACCATGTGCATCTGAATGAGGAGGGCTATTGGTTGTGGGATTTTGTGTTATGGCCGCATGTGGCCAAGGTCTTGGTCGTCCCGACAGAGGAAGATGATCAGCTTCTTGATTGGACGTGAGTCTCAGCCATGCCTGGGTTTGGTCAATGAGGATGTATTCATTAGCATTATGGATAGTAAAAAGCAGCTATTGGAAACTTGAGATGAGGATCTTGCACGTCCAGACCTTGTAGCCTTCCCGTTCATCCTACATATTCAACACCACCCGGCGCATGTCTTGCAATTCCAGATGATTGGTAGCATGACTCAAGGCTCCTTGCCCATAATCATGTCTTTTAGATGTTGAAAGACTTCGGTATGATCCTGCTCGCAAGGATGATAGTGCCACAAGAACCGGCGGCCATTGTAAGTATCACGGACCGTAAACTCCACCTTCGGTGCCCGGAGACGTATCCCAGATTTTTCTATACAAGCTCTCAACGTGTCTCCTATGCCATCCTCGAGAAAGCATCCGGGCATGATATCGCGTTCAAGACGCCACTCGATCCCAAGGGTATGTAGGTTGACGAAGCGTTCTTGCCATTCAGGGTTTATATTGGCGCGAGGTGCATCATCTTTGGTACCGTTAATCCAATAGTCTCGGGGAGGTAGATCTATAAGGTACATCCAACTCGTCGAGTGCGAGGCACATATAAGTCCCTTCTCTACACCGACCTTGCAGTTCATCGCCACAATATGCAGATGACGTATCATGGCAGCCGTATGTGGCTTGGGACACCAGAGACCGCTGATACGGTCCTCAGGGGAAAACGAATAGCCCGTGCCAAGTTCGACGTCGCCTGTTTGCATGCGGCACCCGATGCACAGCTCGAAGACATTTTTGTTGTAATATACTTCTTGTGCGATGTTGGCTAGATGACGGTTGCGCGTGGCCAAGAGTGGGAACAGGTCCGACTGTAGACACTGGGCGTGTTTCCTCTTGTCGATTCTTCCATCCAGGGTTAGATTGTGCGAGAGAACTTCGCACTTGAGCTCATCAGGAAGTCGCGCCCAGGCGTGGAATGACTGAGAAACTGGTATGACTGGTTGTTCGGTGTCGGTACCTTGAGCCATCATCCTGGCATAGGTTCCCGACCTCGGTGGTAGGTAGGGCTTGCGGGTGTGATGAAGGTTGATGAGGCAAGGTCTATCAGCAGAGTCGGGAGATAGTTGCATGCTTTTGCAAGAGGCCCGAAAGCAACGATGGGAGAGAGAGGAATAGGTAGGAATCCGCGCCATCTTGCGAGGTCGTCCACCCTGCGGCACGGGCCAGCCAGTGCAGGATGCGCCTGTGACTCAAACTGGGGCATAGTTTTGGTTTGCGCGGGTCGATGATGGAGATGCATCGACGTTGTCGTGAGATGATCACCACGAGTATGAACCGATTCGGGGTCGGGAATCTGAATCATCCTGAGCCTTTCACAGCGACTGGCACCTGCAAGTCAAAAGAGAACATGGACTTCATTCACCAAATGCACCCGGGGTATACTAAGACAAGAACTCCGCTTCCAAACTCCTTGGATATTTGAACAGGACTCGCAGATCATTCTCGCCACTCTTTCGCGCATTGGGTGCACTGGAACAGGTCAGTGGGGGTTTTGAGGAAGTCGGGTATGTGACGTACCTTGTA